GTTCCCAGGCACGGCTCTCCCACTATTTTGGGGGTGGCCGAGGCTCAGGCTAATTGCACCGGTCCTTCTCTGGATCCTCGGGCACTGAATGCCAACGGGGTGCTGGCAGCCAAGTCTCCGATCTCGGGGCAGGGCTTTCAGGGCAGGGCACACGTTCCCCCCCCTACTTTCAGCCAGCTAGGGTTCGTCACGCGGTAACGGTACAACAGTAATGAATTTTTCCTTGTGTCCGGTCTCCGCTGTGGGTTTTGACTCCTTTCTTACCGACTCACGGGCATCCCCAGAGGGAATCAACCCTATCATGAGACGCACAGTCGAACATGCTCCCTCTCACATATTTAAAGTGAAAGGAGATGCAGTTCGCTCGCGTCGGATACAGCCGGTACTCCGGGCGGTCCCTCAGAGTCTTCCATTTGTATGACTCGGTGAGCCACGCTTTTGGGGTGAGGCGGAGTATCATCGATCCCACCAGTGATACGATGTATATACCCCCACCCTTGATCCTAAAGCGACCACCTAAGGTTGCTTCAACGCTTAGGGGATCACAGGCGTCGGGATCCAAAGCAACCCCGTCGGCAAGTCTCTCCCTGTCCGCCTGAGTGCGGAGTGGGGCGCAGAGCACGCAAACGGTGTTGATGGGCGGTGTTGGTCAGCCGCGGAGGATGTAATGCTTAAGGCCCCCAGGTGGGGATAACATTAGGCAACACTTCCCACTGGACCAAACGCTACCCGGTCGGTGTGGTTTTGGGATTAGACCCCATAGCGTGAGACCAAAATGCCCCCAACCGGATTCCAAGGTTCCTTCCCCAGACCCCGGTACCACGAATTTGGCAAACCGGGCAAAGGGGGATAGCCGCGTTCCATGGGTGTCTTTGCCAATTGAAAATGACCCATCCAGCCCTGAGGACAGAGTTGCTTGAGCACATTATTATGCTTGACCAGCACTCTGGAGACCTTGGAGGCAGAACGCACGAGCCTCCTAGACCAGGCAACATTTTTACTGGTGGACCACCGCACATCTACATGCGACACCCCCTAGTGTCGCCTGGCTCTCTTGGCCAGGGCCACTACCGTGCTACGAGACGCGGCCTTAGACGCACGTGTTTTCGCCGACAAGCTGAGCCGGGGTACATCCCCACCTCAGTGACGCAGACTGGACATCCTCCACCCTCTTTGTTCAGGGAATGGTAGGTACAGTCTCGGAGCTTCGGAGTGCAATGAAGATCGAATCCGCTAGCCAGTTGGTCCTGCCATGGGCAAACGGAGGGCACCCCAAGCACAGAAGACACAACGCCTAGGGCGTCGTCTGCTAGCCAGAGTCAGCCAGGAGGCAAGTGCTTATACCCTTCCATGGGAGGGGGGTAGTGGCGCGCCCCCAGGGAGGTAAGAGCCAGGTGGTGGCTCCTCACCCTCCCTGGGCGGACGTCTACCCGGCAGCAGGGGAGGCATGTTTGACGCTCACCTCTGCAACCGGGGGGGACAGGCATGTGTTCGGTGAATGGCCAGGTCACAACTTAGTGACTACTTCAGGCCTTAGGGAACTCACCCCATTGGGGGAAGGGAGCACCCCCCCTCGCAACTACCGAACACATGGCCACATATCCCTGTCGTACACAGATTGCGCCGGTGTAGTCCGGTTTGGAGACGGGGAGTGACCGACCCCTGGACCTTTCCAGATGGTGACATCCGTTTACGGGATACCGCTGAAATCTCCATTTCCCCCGTCAGTGTCTCCCCTGTTGGGCACTGCCAGGGGACTCCCGCAAGACGGAAGCAATCAGACAGGAAGTAGCAGTTTGCTGGGGAAAGACACCATACACAGGGTACATCAG